ATCGCTGGAAAATATCTCTGTGAGCGTGTGTGGTTCTGTGTGTGTCGTGCATAAATATGGGTGTGTATGGCTGTACCATAGCAAACCATGTCATGTCACTCCTCTCCACTTTGAAACCACTTTCCATGTAGAAGTCAGGACAAACATATCCAAACTCTAATCCTACATTCTCTCTCTCTCTCTTTTTTGCTCATTGTTGATACCATGTGTGAATGTGAGATCCTGAACTCACACCTCACACCTGAGACACTATGAGACATAATTAGAAGTGTAGGTTAGAGACGTTTTCTTTCATACAAGATCAGAACAAGAGACAGGAAAATTAAATCATTTACACATAATACACCAATACATATCACCAAAATATGGAATATAATAGTTAAAGGCCAATACATTCCACAAAACTGGCAGAGAAGCAATGGATGTGAACAAAATGGCCATGGGTGACTCCCATGCTCCCATGATACTTGATCCATAAAACAGAAGAATCGCCCCCTCTGGGGGAGGTACTCAAGCTGGTATAGAAGAGGGTGTAGAGAATATCAACAGCTCTCACTTATTCAAACTGCTTTGATGTTTAATATTTAGGTCACAAATATGAATTGGTTACATTTAAATTTTTTATGATGTGGTGACACTTCTGTACATACACAAAGTTTTTGACGGGACAAGAGTTAAGTAGTCAGATGATTAGATGTAAACAAGCCAACAGTAACAGTAACTTTATTTAGAGGTATACATTAAAACCCAAAATGTCAGTAAAAAACGCCCAAGAAAACTGTGTCAGAATGATAAATCTTCCATTGCACTGTGATGAATTCCCTCTGAATGCTGCACATAGTGTACCCTGACCATGAAATATGGACCGCTGGGATAGGAATCCTCCTGCGTCCATCTTTCACTGCATCAAGAACAGTTTATTGCTTTTACTGAACGTGACTCTGCTGCTAAACACCTAAAACACACATGACAGCAGACACACATAAACCACTGAGCTTGTGCATGAAGAAGTTTTCATGTTCATTACTTGTACTTAAAATACATCATGTCTCAGTTTATCATGAGTAATGTACAGCTGATTGCTGCCTTAAAAATGTATGAAACAGTAGATGCACATGACCCAACTTGGTACAAGGTGGAATCTCATGGTAGTAAGCAACATCACAAACAAACACCTATTGTGATTCGTAACTTACAACATGTGTGAAACTGCATCTGTATGCATGGAGTTATTTAAAGAGGGTCTTGTTAGCAGAAAATGTGCAATGCTTTTTAAGAGCCGATATTTGAGGAAAAGTTGGATAAATCAGCAATATACTGACTGTATTGTTAAAACTGAACAAACAAGAGGTCTTTGGGGAGCCTGCATAAGAAAAGACAGCAGTCTTTGATCTTATCAGGCAGCATTCAGCATATATGTGTCTCATATTGGAAAAAAATATATATAACCTCATCCACAGATGACACTTTTTTCAATATCTGTCTACGTATAATGGCCCAAACAGAACTGCAGAAAGAGCATCTGATTCCAGCAAATCAATACATTTCATTCAAGTCTCCAACCCGAGGATGAATTATCAATCACCGCATCTGTTGCTGAGTTACTCCATTGCCAGAGACTTGCCTCTTTCTCTCTGTGGATTAAGCCACTTTTGTCTATTTACAATTTCATCAGTTGCTATGTTTGTATGCATCTCATAGCTTCAAAATCTTGTGATTTTATTGCCAGCATCAAAACAGGAGCCAAAGGGATTTAATACACTGAGCAGCCATTCAAAAAACAGCCTGAAACAGTGTTGAGCTTTGGACTGCAGTCACAGTGGCCATCTGCAAGCTGCTGCACACCAAGAACTGAGGCTCACTGGTCTAGAGGCATGATGGCAAAGCTGTGTGATGCTGGCCCCAGAATAAACAAGTCATTTGACTGGACAACCATCATAAAAGCTACTATTGATGTTGCCTAGTTTTTTTTTCTGCAGCATTGTTCGTTGTTTCGTGGCTCGAGTCTTGCTGGGTTGACTGTTGGCTCGCTTTCACATTGATTTCTGAAGTGGTGATTGTCTCCGCTGTTCGCTTTAAACTGTTTGTCATTCAACTTTTACATGTCTTTATCGATATCCTGCTAGAGCCGATGGATTTTAGTGCACAGGCCGTCATTTGTGTGTCCATGTAATCGACTCCAACATTCTTCTCTGTGTCAGGATCAATGGCGGTCATCCGGCTCGGTCTAATCTGAGGCAGCCATTCCAGTTATTCAGGGGTCACATACCTCGACCATGTGTCAGGATTCCCGTCTGCTTTAAGAAAGTATGCAAGTGTGGGACCGATGAACCAGGTGACCTCGCACATGCACATATGCAGACACGATCACAGGCTGTAGTACCCACACCAATAGGCACATGCACCAACACATGTTTGCCATCCCAAAAGCATATGCACACACAAGAAATCACTTTTAAATCCATGCGACAACTGGTCACACACACACACTCTCATGTACACACCCCTTCAATAAACCTTCTGTGTCTCATTTTCCTGCCCTACCCCTCAGGTCCCTGCCTGCCACCCCATGTGGAGCAGGTGGGCAACAGGCAGACCAAAGTCTCTGGCGGCTTACCACACACACATAAACACACACACACATGCAGGCTCTCTCTTGCTCTGTTTCCTTTCCCACTCTCCACACCTCCTCTTAATGACCACAGATATGTTAAAAAGCTCTGCCACTTAAAGCAGCAGCCTCTCTCAGCCACTTAATTTGACATGCTTGGGAGGAAAACAAAGAAAGACCCCTATTGTGGCTTTTAACAGTATCCAATCAAGCCTGCCTCTCAATTAGCCATGGATGGAACAGAACAAACGGTTAAGGATCCATTTTATTAAGACCTTTTCAATGTTGCCTTAGCGTTATAATTCACATTCAAGACTGCACTGAAGGTAAACTTGCCTGTTGATGCCTTGGACATAGACCTGACTGTTTTTACAGAGGTGAAGCAACTTAAACATTTCTAAAATACTGATGACAACAGAGGAAGCAAAATCAATACTGGTTTTCTCCATGGCTCCAGATGCTATAATTGAGCTATATTATCTCTCAAAGTTGAGTCACATAAAAATAAAGACACGCAAGTAAAACACATTGACTGATAGACAGAAAGCAATAAAAGCAGGTGACAGACGAAAAACAACCAGGCAGAGAAACAAAGAGTTTTAAAAATCGATTTGTGAGGGCAAATAGGCTGCCAACAAATAAGGAGTCAAAACCCCCGAATAAGTCCTGTATTACTATGTATCGACAACAGAGAAGGTACATCAAGGATGTCTAGATGGTGCATTTACCCTAAATGTGGATAATATCAAGTAGTCTTTTCTAAAAAAAAATTGGAAACTCTTTGTGTGTGGGGGTGAATTTGTATGTCAGTCTGGAT